AACTTTAAAAAGGTTTAATCTAGGCAAGGGAGAAATTGAAATTCCGCACTTAATCCGAGATGTAAATGCCATCAATGATTATTATACAACTTCCGTTCAAATTCCACCGATTGATCCGAATATTTTGGATTCATATTTATCCGTTGAGCCAAGTTGGGGAAAATTTAATTTTCAAAATATTGACATTGAATACATTCAAAAGATTCTCTATAATGTCAAATCAAATGCACAAGGAACTGATAACATAAACATAAAAATGATTTTGAACTGCTGTCCTCGAATTCTTCCACACATAACACATATTGCGAACTCTTGCCTTGAACAGGGGGTTTTTCCTACAGCTTGGAAACAGGCAGTGGTAAGGCCTCTCCCGAAAACAAATAATATTCAAGAAATTAAAGATCTTCGACCAGTGAGCATTCTGTGTACTCTTTCTAAGGTTTTAGAACGGGTTATTGACGAGCAAATTCGACATTTTGTCTTTACAAATAATATCCTGCCCTCATGTCAGAGTGGTTTTCGTAAGAATTATAGTTGTGAAACAGCCCTTTTGGATTTGACTGACGACATTATTAAAGAGGCGGACAATACTAAACTTACAGCACTTGTTTTGATAGATTATTCGAAGGCATTCGATACGATAAGCCACCCTCTTATGAGCGCAATATTAAAATCTATTGGATTTGCTGATATTCCTTTGAAACTGTGTGCAGATTTTCTGGCTGGGAGATCCCAAAGGGTTAAAATAGGTAACGATATATCATCTGCTAGGAATCTTCGAGCTGGAGTTCCACAAGGATCCATCTTGGGACCACTTTTTTACATTGTTTATACCCATAAATTGCCAGAGGTGTTTGAATTTTGTAAATCTGTTTTATATTGTGATGATACTCAAATTCGACTACCTTTTTTACCAAAAAATGCTGATCAAGCAATTAATCAAATTAATAGCGACATAGATAAGCTAGTACAGTGGTCAAAAAATCATGGGCTTTACATTAATGCAAAAAAAACTAATTTTCTTTTATTTGGCACCAGAAAAAATAGAGTAAAAATTGATTCACAACAGTTTTTTGTCAGAGTACAGGGTGCTGAAATAAGACTTTCAAGCTCAGCTCGAAATTTAGGAGTTCTTTTTGACAGTCACCTTCGTTTTAAAACACATATTAACCAATGCATACGATCAGCTTACCTTAATCTTAAAACTATTTTCTCTGTGAGACAGTATGTGAGCTTCCCTGTAAAGAAAATTTTATGTGAATCTTTAGTTCTCTCCAGGTTCAACTATGGCTCCGCAGTTTATGGGCCTTGTATAGACTCCAGAGATACAAAAAGAATCCAGGTTGTGCAAAACTCCTGTCTACGTTTGATATGTGGAATAAGGCGCCGATGCCCAATATCACACAAATTAAAGGATCCCCGAATAAACTGGCTTAATATGGCTAACCGTCGGAAGTTACTTTCGGCATGCCTTTTCCACAAAATTATTTTGAATAAAATGCCATCATATTTATTTAATAAAATTATTTTTAATAGAAATCCTCACTCTCGGAACTTGAGACATGTGAACAGGATAAGGGTTCCAAAGCATAAAATAGAATTTTTTAAACGTTGTTTTACTTATCAAATATCCAAAATATACAATGCTGTTCCTGCCTCGCTTATTGAGAAATCCGAATTAGGTTTTAAAAAAGGTTTCAAAAATTTTTTACTCAGCTGTTGAACTTTACCTATGTCTCGGTTAGTACAGAATCATGTCATTGAAAGTCTGCTTGCTGATTTATCCAAGGTTCATTTACATTAGGTACCGTAGGCACACATTTTTGTTTTGTTTTTTTTTTTTTTTTTTTTGTACAGCATGCAGTTTGGGGAAACATAATTAAGTATGAACTTACATTTATATTTATATTTTATATGGTATATAGTATAGTTAGTTAGCTTATAAGTATTATTAGGACTTAAGGTTTGGGAAAAGTTATTATTTTTATTTTATTTATTTTTTGCTTAAGATTTAATGCAGAGGCCATCTTGTTTTCAAGCTGGTCAACTGATCTTCGGCATTTTTCTGGCTCAGTTTTTTTTTTTCTTGTACCGTTCGGGTTTGAATTGTGAATATTTAATTTTTTTTGCTGGAAAATAAAGACCATATTTATTTATTTATTATTTATATTACCGCAAAACAACTTTGACAACAATATAGGCCAAGTACATGTTGCCCTCCTTCTACATAGAAAACTGGTTGTGTAACCGTCGGTAGTTTTGGCTTGGGTATAAGAAATCCTCGTGAGGATATGCTAATAGATTATCTAGAGAAAATGTATACTGTCTAAATTTAACAGAAACCGAAGCAGAGGAAATGGACACCAAAACAAAAAATGAGATCGAATAATATATCATTTCTAATAAATATCTCAATATCAAACCAATTCGACAAAAGCAGTGATCATAGAATACTAAGAGCAGTATTCAATTTCAATCTTAAAACCTAAATAAATATACTAAATCACCAAGATAAAATTTCCACCATTGCGATGCTACGTCAAAGTGGGGAAATATATCAGAGAAAACTGATGATGAGACTGTTACCGGTTGAAGCCTTAGAAAAAATGGGAACAAATGAACTTTAGCAGAAAATTTACAGACATTAACATGGCGACAAAGAGGATCTGCACCAAAATCTGAAATCAAGAAGATCACAAATTAAAACTGGATACACTAAACCTCGTAAAACAAAGAAGAGAACCCCCGAGAGATTCGGCCAAATAGCATTAGCGAACAGGTGCGAAAGGACATACAACACAGACCAAATTGAAAACTTAGAGAAAAATTTAAAACCAACAACGTAATAGAATTTCGGATAATAAGGATATTGCATAAAAAAACTTCTATGTGCCTCAATCATACAGGACACAAAAACATCTGACTCTAGTTCGAAACGAGGGATCAGAAGGCATCCCCGAAATAACAAAACAGCAAATGAGCCCAGCACTGGAGCAATTGAAAAACAATAAATGGCCAGGAGAAAATTTGTAAGATGTTGAAGATAGGGAGAAAAATGATAGAAGAAGCATTAGCTTAACAAATGTGTGCAACAAGAAAAAATCCCAGACACATGGCAAAATCCTGAGGTCATCTTACAATTCAAGAAAGGCGATCAGCTTGCTATCACAAGTATATAAACTTCTAACGGTGATTATAACCATTAGACTAACACACAAATTCGACTTTCACCAACCCGTCGAAGAAGCAGGGTTTCGGAAAGGATCTAGCACCATCGATCACCTACAAATAAGCAGTAGGTTAGAATATTAATCGAGAAAGGAAAATACGAATCCCTGTTCACAGCACTTAGTTTTCCAAAAAGCCTACAATTCTGTTTAGCCTTCCTGCATGCTATGGACGACGCTAGAATTAACTCCCACTGCTCCAATTCGCTAAAATACATCTATGAAAACGCTACATTTCATGTCAAAATAAAGAAAGACCAAGCAACCGATAAAATCGAAGGGAATAAAAAAAGAGGCACGATATTCACGAAACTGTTTACTCTAGCATTGGAAAATGTCACTGCCATGGAGACTGAAGGTATCATTAGCGATGGAACCTACCTGAGCCATGTACGCTTTACCGATGATATGGTCCTAATGAATAGTACCATCCAAGAGCTGACAAACATGATTGTACAACTAAATGGAGCATGAAAAAAGTTCGACTTGAAAATGAACCTCTCCAAAACAAAAGTAACCAGTAAATAGAAGTAAACATAAAAAAGTAATACTTGGGACATTTCTGCGCTACGATAGGTAAAGAAAATCAAATAGCTAAAATGAGACGTAGAATACTATTGGCTTGGACAGCCTTTGGATGACTGAACCACATCCTAAGACGTTGAGGAATACCGATAAATCTCAAAAGGTTTTCAGCATGTGCATCCTACCAGTAGTAACCTATGTCAATGACAAAGAAAAGTGCTGATTGCCTGAGAGTAATGCAGGGAGCCATGGAACGGGCCATGCGGTATAAGTTTAAGAGATTAAGTCAGAAATTAAGAAATCCAACGAACTACAGAGCTCAAATGCTTATGGGTGGTTACGTTGCCAGGGCTCCAGGACATCGAGATTCATACATAGCAGATCGACTGTCAAAGCGTGGTGTAGGAACACCACAGAAGAGATGGTGATGATGTAAAGAAACAAGCACGAAGGAGGTGGTGCCAGATAGCACAAAGCGTGGAGATGCATGAAAGAAGCCTACGTCCAGGAGTGGACAACATATGGCTGAGAAAGCTTCAAACCTAATCTGATTCGATACTTCCCGGACTCAGGGTCTCTCTTCGTTTCCGGTGTTTGATAAAATAGAACAAACCCTGAGTTGTGAGCTTAGCCACAGTCTCAACTAGTAAGTGAATTTTCTGCGAATAAAGTTTGCTCTTTGATGTAGACTAATTACATGCAAGCCCGATGAAAATGTGTAATACTGTGTGAAAAGTTATATTGTGTATAGCTGAATTTTATTAACTATGCGAAAAATAAATTCATTATATTAATTCCGAAAATTTTTACTCTTTGATTCCACCTATCCTCCTTCTTTATAAATTCCTGTGAAAGTGTGAAGAAAACCGAAAAAATAATACAAAAGTACAAAATGAAAATCAAAGAAAAGGTGCAATTGCCTTAATACACATTCAGAAATCACCTAGCCAGCAGTACAGTGCTTAAAAAAAAAAAACAGAAAAACAAATTAATAAACCACTGACTAAAAAAACAGATACCTAACCGCATGCTTTATGAAATTGTAAATGCGACGCTTCTTTTTTGCACATTCACACTCAATATATTAGTTTTGTTTCAACACAGCAGAAAATTGTACAATGTACCCTCACGATTCTGCGTTAAACCTAAAATTTCTACTACTATATCGATTCGTATGTCAAACGTGTACGTGTACCCATTTTCAATAATTAACCTGCTCAAAATAAGTAATTGGCCCGGAAATCTTACCATACTGCTTAGTTCGGATGGGTATAGGGGGCGTAGTGGCTCCCTCGCCCCTCTGAGACCTCGCAGCCAGCCATACATAATACAACGTGTTCGGATACAGTCCAGTCAATATGTAGGACTCGGAGATGGGTATTCTACGATGGTGTTGTTCTTTGGCGTAGGTGTCATTCCAGTAAAGCTCGTAGCTCATGATACTCTCGCTGGAGTGCGTGGGTTTACTCCATTGGAGTGTCACCATACTTTCGCCAATGTCAGAAGCGCGCAGGCTACCCGGTTGACTAGGAACACCTGCAGGATGACGTTATATTGAAACAGCAACATCATAAAATCAATAAAGTCGATTCCAAGGAGCATCAAATACAAATGCAAAAGAAACGAGTTAATAGATCTCCTTCTCTTGTAAATTTCAGCTTTGTTATCGATCTCATAGATCGTCTTCTTATGGAGAATAAAATTTTGGCAAAATGTGGTAACTTTGAACTCCATGTCATAATTTTCTATACGATAATAGAATAAGATATCAGTGTTATACTATCACGTATCACAGTGGTATAGCTACACACGACTTGTACTATTTGGGACTGGTGAAGTTTTTATTGGGAGCTCAAAGGTCTCACCTTGTTGAGTTTTGACGTGCACCGGAGCACTAAGAGGTCCGGGACCGACGGAAGTAAAAGCCTGCACGCGAATCGTGTAGATGGTGTGAGGTGTCAGCTCGCTAATCGTGGTCAGCTGGTTGTTGTCGACCACTTGCGATTCCCATTGGGCCATCAGCAGCTGGGAATCGGTGCTGTAGTAGACTTTGTAGCCCTAGAGGATTGAGTTATACAAGTGATATAAATTGTGAGAGGGATAACATAGGAAGGAATAATTATTAATCTTTCCAACTTACCGTTACTTGTCCGTTCGGGGTTTCCGGTTCGTCCCACTGAATAACAATGGTGCTCGAGCTGAGAGGCCGCACTTGGATGTTTCGAGGAGCAGTTCCAGATTCTGAAATTAAAACAAATATGCAATTAAGAGACTACTGAAACTGTGTTAGTTGTACTTACTGGCACCTCCAAAAGAAATGTTGCCTGCAAGATTAGAGAAAAATATTAGTAGATCGGAAAAATATCGTTTGCTGAGGAAACACGATTCATGCCAAAGTTTTTTGCAATATTAGTGTATAAAACATCGATCTACCTAGCAGGTGCTCGAAACTATTAACTAGGTAGTGTCCAATACGCAAGAAAAAAACTGCCCCTATAAACTTACATTAACCGTCATTAAATCAGAAAATCCATCTCAATATTTATTTTAGATGTGGTTGCATGAAAAAATAGTAATAAAAGTGAAAGATTCTATCATGAGCAAATTCTCAAATGAATGGATGAAAACTATATATTTAATTTCAGCAACGTTTCGACTTTTCAAAATAGAAAAAGAATTTGTCTTGTTTTATGGCTTGGGAATTTAAGTCGAAACGTTGCCGAAATTAAATAGTTCTCATTCATTCATGGTCCTTTGTCCTATGACTCAAGAATTTGCTCATACTTGTTACTGAGGATATAAAACGGCTCGAAAATAAAAGTTTCTTTATTTGATTAGCCTATCAGGTTTGCTAAGTATCACAAAAATTGTTAAAGTATCACCTGTTTCTCCTGTGGTTACTACTGCAGGAGTGCTAGGGGGCCCTCGTCCAATGTTATTAACCGCAATCACGAACATTTCATATTCGGTGTAAGGACTCAAATTTCTTACGGAATAGTACATGGTGATGATGCCGCTGATTTCGCTGAAAGCCTGATTGGCGTATTTCGGTTTGAACTGGATGACGTAGTATTGCAAGTCTTCTGGTCCAGTGTAAGACCAGGTCAGTCTCACTGAAGTCGCAGTGATTTCTGATACTCGTACGTTTGTCGGTGGTCCCGGTAATGCTGAAAATAGTCAATGAGTGAGAAGGTGAGCTCGGAGTCAATCATTTATTCGAATACTACTTAGATTCTACTCATTAAAAGTGTTTTGCAAGCTGAATTTATAAAAAGAGGTACACGATCGTCTTTTGCTGGAAAGTAATTAAATTGAAATTTCATTGTTTGGGTGACAAAAAAAAACTATAAACTCACATTGTACTTTAACATGAGCAACAGCTTCAACAATCCCCAGAGCGCTGGCAGCAATGCAAGTATAATTATCCGAAGCCTCGATCTTCTTCAGTTCTAAGGTGTTTTTACCAATCGGTAATTTATCTTCCGGGGTAAGTTCTTCCGAGGGGCCTTTTCTCCATTTGACAAAGGGCATCGGAGATCCTACAGCTACGCATGTCAAATTAAGGTCGGCGCCTAATTTAACTTCGCTGATTGGCGGCGGCGGGATGGAGAACGACGGCGATACGCGGCGCACTGAAAGACATTTTTAGTTAATATTTTTCTCGATTACCATAAAACTTTTGTTTGTACAATTCGCTCATTTCGACGCGGAGACTCTCAATAAAATGATGAGAGTCCTTTGCAAAAAAAAAAAACTTTTCTCTGGAACACACAAATATAATCCGGCTTGATTTCTTCAGTCGTATTTATTTTTAATTAAGAGCCGCAGAAAGAAAAGAAACTACGAATGAGATAATTTCATCGTCAGAGTTTCGACCTTTTTTTTTTAACCTTCGAAAGCAATTTTTCGGGTAAATACCGTAATTAAACTGGCGACACTTGACACTTGAACATACCTTTAACGTAAAGTATAGCAAACTTTGAATAGTCTGTGCCTATGGAGTTTTCGGCTACGCATTCGTATTTTCCGTGATCTTTTTCTTCGCTGGATTTAATTTGAAGTGAACCTGAAATAAAAAGAACGTACATTTTAAGTTTAATAGCCTTTTATGCAAGATGGGGCGGTAAATTCAGCTTACGCCCGCGTTTGGGGGCGTTAAGTTGATTTTATCGCCCGTCTCTTTCAGGAAATAAATCAGCAAGAATTATTTATTATATTCACCTAACAACTACACCTTCATACAAGGTGTCTACTTAGTGCGATATCGGACGATATCTTCTAACAGGGTGATGCAAGAGAAAAAAATTAAATTATCAAGTTGTTTGATACTCTAATATGCATTGGTTAAGAATATTTCTGAATATGCAGGGTACTCCGTTTATGGGGTATGCGACAGAACGTTGTTATTTTAAATGGAACACCCTGTATGTGAATGCATATTTGGATTCTACGTAAAATTTTTATTTTAAGTAATATACCCTATACCTAAGTCCTAAGTTCAACTCTTTTGGAAATATTGACAGTTGAAAATTGACTTTTTGCAACTTTGACAGGCTGTAAAACCTAAACAATTAGTTTTAGACAAAAATCGATTTTACATTCCTATCTTAGATTTTCTTAAACATTGACACCAACTTTGAATTTAATCTGAGATTAAATTTAACTGTAATTTTTAATCATGGATTAAATTCAAATGTGGCATCAAATGATAGTTTATAAAAATCTAAGATACGAATGTACAATCGGTTTTTGTCTTAAATTAACTATTTAGGTTTTACAGCCTGTCAAAGTTGCAAAAAGTCAATTTTCAACTGTCAATATTTCCTATTGAACATAGGTATAGGGTATCTCACATGAAATCTGCTCAGAATTTTACGCAGAATCCAAATATGCAATCACATACAGGGTGTTCCATTAAAAAAAAAACATAGCTCTGTCGGATACCTCATAAACGGAGCACCCTGTATATTCAAAAATATTTTCAACTAATGCATATTAGAGTATCAAACAATTCTGTAATTTAATTTTGTTTTTCTTTCATCACCCTGTAAACTGTAAACAGATATCGTCCGATACCGCACTAAGTGGACACCCTGTATATTACCACCAAAACTGGTGTGGATAACCATAAAAAATATAAAAGTGATTGATTTTTGGGAGATTTGCATATACAGAAGTTGCCAATTTTTCAGTGGGTAAATAACACTTACCGACATTTATACTAAAATAACTAATTATTCATTCTTGCTGTGATAAAATATTCAAGGGAACCAACACCACTCTATAAAACACTGTATACTATACTTTTTCATATTATATTCCTAATGAAAAGTGAAATCCAGGTAAAATGATCTGGGGGTTTCATTTCTGAGGAGTGGCTGTAACCTACAAATTTGGATTCGTATTTCGTCATGAAGGTAGAATCAATGTTTGGTATGATACTTTGTAAATTTCGGTAGTTCGGCTACGATAGAAAGATATAGAATAGAAAGATGGCCGCCGGACGAAAATGGTATTTCAAATTCAAAGTCTGGTTTCATGTGTAAGGAGTAAAAATATCATACAAACTTTGATTGAGTATAAAGCTTAAGATCATGTTTCGGATGATACTTTGTAAAATTCGACAGTTTAGTAACGTTGCAACGTCACAAAGATGGCTGCCGGGCGAAAATCGTAGGCAGTTTACCATTCCAAAGTCGATATTTATTTGTGAGTAGTAAAAGTATCATACAAATTTTGATGCAGGATATAGCCAGATTATGTTCTCGAAGCTTCATCCGACTGTGACGCCGATTCGGCCGATTAATAACTATTGTTTCTCCTAAAAACAAATATGGTGGTCAAAAGAACCCGGAATTTCATTTTTGAGCTGTAAAATTTTTTTTCTACGAGCGTGCGGGAAATGGCTCTGCACGCACGATTTGCTGTGCGAGAAGACTTTCTTCCCGCACCGGTGCGGGAAGAGATTGAAATAATCATTGTGACATGGAATTGTTTGTATTGTTGATACACCTATACCTGTACCTTTACCTTTTTATAAATACCTTCTAATACATTTTCAATTCTACCTTCTGCATGATCGCATTTTATTTAAATTAAACTCTTCGTAACATCAGCTTCAGTATGCTCATAGAAAAAATATAGTTCCTAACTCTTGCGGGAAGAAATTTCCGGCACTCGGGCGCTTCGCACCCTCGTGCCGGAAACTTCTCTTCCCGCACTCGTAAGGAAAATAGCTATTTTGTTGACCAATTTCCTTTTGTTTAGGCTTGTTTAGAAGAGAATTGAACAGGCTAACGAATCGAAGAAAAACTTTTGAACTTTGAGAAAAATTCAAAATTGCGGACTTTTCCAAAAATTACCTAGTTTTGGATATGAGAAGAAGATATTCGATATTACAAACGAAATCGTTTGTTATATCGAATAGTTTTAACCGATTTTTCCTGTCGAGGTCTTAAAATGTTCGCAAAATGATTAACTACAAGAATTTATTTAAAAAAGTCATATGTAGTTACAGGGGGTTACAAAAAAGTTCCAGCGCTTTCCAAAACTAGGTAATTTATGAAAAAGTCCGCCATTTTGAATTTTTCCCAAATGTCAAAAGTTGGACTTTGATTCGTCAGCCTGTTTATTTCTCTTTCAAACAAGCCTGGACAAGAAGGAATTGATCAACAACAAAAAACTTAAAAGTTCAAAAACAAATTTCAGTTTTTTTTACCACCCTATATATGCTCTGTACAATATTATTCATAATATTATTTATGTAAGGATGTATCAGGTTTGACTACAAAAATTTTAACAGGTGAAAATATGGCCCATTTTGAGCAATAAAAGTGTATAATACATGGGGTCCAAACTTAACCATTTTTGAAAAAAAGACCTTTGAAATTAGGGATCGACCCATATATAAATTTTGGCCGATACCGATATTTCAAAGACCGATATATCGGTGTATCGGCCTATCGGCCGTTCGTGTTTTTTCTGATGAGAAAAAGTGTGCAATTTGTAAAATTTGTCGAAAATCTGTGTCATTAGGTGGCAAAGGAAAAACGGCTAATACGTCCAATATGAAATACCATCTTTCGAAACACCATCCAGTGGAATATCGTCAGATAACGGATTCAGGTACGAAGCAAAAATGTGTAAAAATAAATTTTTTAAAAAAAGCTGTCGGAGCCTGGATATAAATAACGCAGGTCCAACAACGTCGATCCAGTCATCGGAGGAACACGGAAGAGAACATTTCGTCCTCTACCACACCGCCTCTGAAGATGTTTACCGCAGCAAAAGACGAAACGTTAGGTAGAAATACTAATGGACCACGGCACTATAGCCCGGAAAACAACTTTTTTACCAGAAAGCTTATTGTTTTTACACCACAACCTACCAAAACAAAATTATCAATAGTAATATAACTAGTGCAATGGAAATTATTGATAATTTTTGGGAAATTTGCCCGAATGCATTTTTAGTTGAAAAACAGCACGAGTGCACGTAGTGCACGAGTGCCTTTTTCAGTTAAAAACGCATGAGTGCAAATTTGTCGAAAATTATAAATATATTTCCATTGCACGAGTTGTATTTAATGAGAGAATTTCATAAATCAAAAATTTAAATTTTTGGCAAAAAATGTCAAAACACCAGTTTTCGCACCAGTTAGTATGCAATTATCTGATAATTTGCACTAGTGCAAATTATCGCTTAATTACAATCTGATTGGTTCAAATCAACAATCAAAACATGTCAATTTATTGTTGGAATACCAGTTTTGACAGCTGTATGAAATTCTCAATATTAATTAGGTTACCTATTACCTATTTATGTTACCTATTACCCGAGCTATGACCTATTACATTTTTTATTTTTATAATGATGTTGGATACATTACCTACATTTCATTGTTAATAAAAATGTATTTCTGATGTAAGTGTTTTTGTCCTTTAATTTTTTACATTTTTTTCCCAATAAAAAAAAATTATCGGCTTATCGGCTTCCTGATATCGGCCGAAACCGATAATCGGCCAATGAGGCCGATAGGCCGATAAAAATATCGGTATCGGTCGATCCCTATTTGAAATTTTGACATTTTTTGACGAATATTTGAAAGATATAGAAAATTTTAATTATCATGAGATCTAAAAGAAATTAGCTCATTCGATTATTAAGTAATTATGCATTTTTAGTCAACAACAATAATAAAAAATTGAAAAAACAACATGAAAATTTCACTTGTAAATCGGTATCTAAACATCTGCCAACATAGCACAACACACACACTTGATTTGTCTTATGCCAGTTAGTGGAAGCATTGGAAATGTGCGTAATTCATTCTTTTTTGAAAATAAAATTTTTACAAACGTCGAATATGCAGATACTTGTTTAGGCAGAATCGTTGCAAAATCCCTATTTAGCCACCAGAATTTACAGGGAATTTCCCAAGAGCACTCACCTGATAAAAGCACATAGTGCCCGTTCTACGAAGATTGCGTGATACGGGAAGTGTGAGTGTGCAAAATATGCGTGTTGATTTGAGTGTTTTGAGAACCTTTCAACAAAAATTAATATTTTTATAATGAGAATTTGGCGAGTAGCTGAGTAAGTATTATTAAATTTTTCTCTTGAATGTTTAGTGCGAAAATGTCATTGAGTGCAATTCACAACTTAATAAAACGGCACATTTTTTATTTTAGTTTAGTTATTATTTACATTATTTGGAAGCCAATAAACCAAATGTAAACAGATGAAAATAAATAAACTCCTTGCAAAAAAAAAAAATCAAATTAACCAGTTTTATGTACATTTATATCCTGGCAGAGATAATACTCGTACGATGTTGTCACGTTGTTAACATTTTTCTGAACTTAAATTCTGCGATAACTCCGAAAATACCAGCAATTAACCATGGTTAATAGAACAGTTTTAGCTTGAAATGGGACCATTATCTCATGTTAAAATATTTGTGCTCATACCTGATACACCCTGTATAATGATAATGCATTCTCATTTTAAATTAAATTCAAGAATTATGTTCCAATTCGAATTTGCTAAAAAGAATGGAGTGAATAC